TTTGGTATCTCAGACATACAAGTACTTAACACCTACTGAGGAGTCATTTTTTCCAAATGACAAAATATACCATTACTATAATGATAATGGTAGTAAAAGGGCAGCCTTTGTTGAGTATTGACAATGTGCCAAGCCCTATTCTAAGGGCTTCACACATACTGATATATTTAATCCCAAGAACAATCCCACGAGGCAGAGAGGGATTATCATTGCCATAGTTGGTCAAACTGAGGCAAATAACAGTAAGAAAAAGAGCCCAGGGCTGAACCCAGGCTCTCTTGCTCCAGGACTCCTGCACCCAACTTTGCAACTTGTTCTATAGCCCATGTTCTGAATCAGAAATTGGGCATGAGAACATGGATTCCAAAGCAGCAACTCTCCAATTCTCAAAGAACTGTTTCCCCAAAAATGTAAAAAACAACCTCTTCCAATCCTATGTTTTCCCCAAGTCTTGAACCTATCTTGAAACTATCAGAAATTTTAAAGGCCAATGATTAACAGAATAATTAATTTGCAAAAATTAAGCTGACTTTACCATATAAACCAAAAGGCAAGTCAGTGCTGAAATTTGACTGCCACTGTGGTTGGTGGTGCTGGGAGATGTGGTTTTTAAAATGTGATTAAGTCTTTGTGAAATTGCCTTCACTCTCTGACCTGGGTTAGTTACCTCAAGGGTGGGCTACTTTAAAGCAAGGCAGCCTCCTGGTTTTCCTCAGCGCACACACCGGCTTCCTGCTTTCTACCAAGAGGCAGCATGAGCACCAAACTGTCATGCTCTTGGACCTCTGGGACTCCAGAATCAACAGATTTGGCCAATCTCTGTTCTTTAAAAATTACTCAGCAGGGTTCAATCCCCAGCATGGGATTGGGGGGCTGGAATTATGAGGTCTCAAGTATTTTGTTAAAGCAGCAGCAAACACACTACCTATCTCCACCCTGTAGATCTAGGCATTTCAATTAACAAAGAGTTCATGGATCAACATCAACTTCTAGCAAAGGTGGGTGTGTGGGGCGGGGAGGGGAGGCTCTAGACTTCTACCCACGCATGTCAACAGGTGCCTGCCTGTTAACACTCCTGCTTGTGTCAGAAGACCAAGCAGAGAGCTGGTTCATCCTTCCATTCCCAGTAACTGATATCAAGACCCCCTCATGACTATGGTATCAGTAGAAACCAAAGTGAAGCCCAAGCCCCAAGCCCCACTCAGAACTTAGTGAGGAACCTCTCTACCTCCAGGGGGCAGTGAAGGTTAGAGAAGAAAGCTCAGCTGTCACCAAAAGGTTCACTTCCACCTGCAGCTGGCAGTATGTCTCTTCTCCTTCCTAAGCAATGTCAGAGGAAATCAATTAACACAAAAAGTTTAAATAAGATATATAAAACACAATTAAAAAATGTCCAGGTTCCCACAGAAATCACTCAATATGCCTAGAACCAAAGACGATCAACAGATACCAATGTGAAAACCACATACTATCATCTCACAAAGACTTCAAAGCAGCCATGATAAATACATCAACAAGCAATTACGAGCATGCTCGAAACAACAGTAATAACAGACACATCAGCAGAGAAATACAAAGTCTTAGCAAAGAAACAGAACCATGTATAAATTTTAAAATTGAAACCAAAATAAAAATCTCATTGGATGGGCTCAATAACAGTAAGGGGGGGGGGGCGGTTACAAAGAACAAAATCAGCAATAGAGAAAACAGAACAACAGAAATCACCCAATCTGAACAACACAGAAAAGAGAGCCTGGGGAAAAAACATGAGCAGAGTCTTAAGAACCTGAGGGACCACAAGGAAAGGTCTATTTATTATGTCAATGTCCCCAAAAGAACAAAGGCAGAGTAGAAAAGGTACTTAAACCAATGCCTAAAAACCTCTCAAATTTGGCAAGAGACACAAATCTATGGATCTAAGAAGATGAGCAAAACTGGTTAAAGGATAAAAGGGGCATGGTGCACACCTACAGTCCCAATTACCTAAGAGGCTGAAGCAGGAAAATCGCTTGATCTCCCAAGTTTGAGACCAGCCTAGGCAACATAGTGAGACCTTGTCTTAAAAAAAATACAAAAGAAATAAATCCAAAGAAATCCAGAGCAAAACACCAATTAATTAAACTTTTGAAAATTAAAGACAAGGGAAAGACCTTGAAAGCAGCAATAGGAGGAAAATACAGAAGAAAAACAATTAAAATGATTTTTTTTTCATCAGAAACCATGAAGGCAAGAGGGAACAGCTTAAGAACTGTCAACTCAGAATCCTACATCCAGCAAAAATGTTTCCAGTGATAAAAGGAAATCAAAGCATACTTAGATAAAGGAAAATTAAGGCAATTTCACATCAGCTGACTTACCCTAAGGATGGCTAAAGGGAGTTCTCGAAATACGAAGTGACAAAAGAAGGCATCTTGGAACATCAGGAAGGAAGAACATGCTAAAATCGTGTAAGTACAATAGGTCTTCCTTCTCCTCTCCAGCTTTTTAAAAGCAAAATTATGGCACTAATGCAATTCTAAACGTTTACAAGACAATTTACGAGTAACATACAGGGTATAAAAGGAGGCAACGCCCTAATATCCAGAGTATACAAAGAACTCAAAAAAATTAAACAATAAGGAAACAAATAACCCAATCAACAAATGGGCCAAGGACCTGAACAGACACTTTTCAGAGGAGGACATTCAATCAATCAACAAGTACACGAAAAAATGCTCACCATCTTTAGCAGTCAGAGAAATGCAAATTAAAACCACCCTAAGATACCATCTCACTCCAGTAAGAATGGCAGCCATTATGAAGTCAAACAACAACAAGTGCTGGCGAGGATGTGGGGAAAAGGGTACTCTTTTCCATTGCTGGTGGGACTGCAAATTGGTGCAGCCAATTTGGAAAGCAGTATGGAGATTCCTCGGAAAGCTGGGAATGGAACCACCATTTGACCCAGCTATTCCCCTTCTCGGACTATTCCCCAAAGACCTTAAAAGAGCTTATTATAGGGATACAGCTACATCGATGTTCATAGCAGCACAATTCACAATAGCTAGACTGTGGAACCAACCTAGATGCCCTTCAATAGATGAATGGATTAAAAAATGTGACATTTATACACAATGGAGTATTACTCAGCACTAAAAAATGACAAAATCATGGCATTTGCAGGGAAATGGATGGCACTAGAGCAGATTATGCTAAGTGAAGCTAGCCAATCCCTAAAAAACAAATGCCAAATGTTTTCTCTGATATAAGGAGGGCAACTAAGAACAGAGCAGGGAGGAAGAGCATGAGAAGAAGATTACCTTTAAACAGGGACGAGAGGTGGGAGGGAAAGGGAGAAGGGAAACTGCATGGAAATGGAAGGAGACCCTCAGAGTTATACAAAATTACATATAAGAGGAAGTGAGGGGAAAGGGAAAAAAATGAGAGAAATGAATGACAGTAGATGGGGTAGAGAGAGAAGATGGGAGGGGAGGGGAGGGGAGGGGGGATAGTAGAGGATAGGAAAGGCAGCAGAATACAACATACACTAGTATGCCAGTATGTAAAACCGTGGATGTGTAACCGATGTGATTCTGCAATCTGTATACGGGGTAAAAATGGGAGTTCATAATCCAATTGAATCAAATATATGAAATATGATGTCAAGAGCTTTGTAATGTTTTGAACAACTAATAATTTTTAAAAAAGAGGCAACGTTTTTATACTCAACTGATAAAATGATAACACTAATATACTGTGATAAGTTAGCTGTGTACTATCCTTGAGTGTTAGGGGGACAAAAAACTCTAAAATGAGATATACTCAATACCACATTGGGTACTGGGTAAGGAGGTAGCTGAGTGGCAGAGTACATGCTTAGCATACACAAGACCCTGGGTTCAATTAGTACCCAGCACCCCCCACCAAAAAACCTCCCATATTGATAAACAAGAATGGAATTCTAAAAATTGCTCAAGTAACTTACTGGAAAGTAAAAACAGAGAAAAGGCCAGGTACAGTGGTACACATCTGTAATCCCATCAGATGTGGAGGCAGGAGTGATCACAAGCTGGAGGCCAGTCTCTGCTCAACTCAGCAACTGTGCCTCAAAACAAAATAAAAAGACTGCAGATATGACTCAGTGGAAGAGTGTTCCTGGGTATAATCCCCAGTTGGGGTGGTGCAGGCTGGGTGTGTGGGGTAGGGCGCAGTCAATTAAAAAAAAAAAAAAAACAGAACAAAATTAAAATGGCAGTCTTAAGTCTAAACACATTATTAATAACACAAATATAAATGGTAAAAATATAACAATTAAAAGGCATACTATCAAAATGCATTAATAAATGACTCAAACTGGGTGTGGTGGCATACAACTACAGTCCCAGCTACTCAGGAGTATGAGGCAAGAGAAATCATTCAAGCCCAGGAGTTCAAGGTCAGCCTGGATAACACCAAAACCATTTCTCCAAAAGGGAAGTGGGCAGAGGGAGACAACTATTTGCTGCCTATGAAACTTCAGATGTAAAAGTATAGGCCAGCTGAAAGTAAAGTTTGGAAAATATCAGCTGAAGTAAACATGAGAGCCAAGAAATATCAGACAGTGATATTACATAATGAAAAAAGAATCAAAACGCCAACACAGTAAAAATTCTAAATGTGCTATGTATCCCAGTAGAGATGCACAAAATGTGAAGCAAAAACCAGTGGAACTTGGCAGAAGAAATCAGCAAATCCACAACTGCTAAAGTTGGAGTCATTGACATGCCTCCCTTCATAATGACAGAACAAGTAGACAGAAAATCAGCAAGGACATAGAAAAACCTAACCCCATCAACAGTACGATCTCATGACATTACAGAACACTTTGGCCAACAACAGCAGGATACAGGTTCAAAATATCTACCATGACAGATAACATCCTGGGCCATGAAACCAATTTAAAAGAACTGCAGTCATATCAAGTATGTTCTCAAACCACAATAGAATCAAATTAAATCAATAAACAGAAAAATAACAGGAAATTGAGAACTTTAAAATAATCTATGCATCATAGAGAAAAATTCAACAGAAAAAAATACATTGAACTAAATGAAAATACAGCATATTAAAATGAGACAACTAGCACAAATGATCTGAAAATGAAATCACAAAAAAGATTCAATTTGCAATAGCATAAAAAAAAGAGTTTAACAAAAATACAAAACTTAGAAGCTGAAATCATTCTTGAAAGATAACAAGGAAGACTTAATAAATGATGTCCTTTGGCCAGGTTTTGACATGCAATATGCCCAAACTTGATCTATAGATTGAATACAATTCCTTTTGAAATGCTATCAAGATTGTTTATAGAAATGACAAGGTGATCTCAAAAGCCCTACAGAAATCCAATGGATGAAATAGGCACAAAATAATTTTCAAAAACGAAGTTGCAGGAATCACACTCCTGGATTCCAAAGTTTACTACAAAGTTAAAGTAACCAAGACTAATGTGACACTGGAGCTGGACTGAAATAAATCAGTGCCTTAGAATCTGAAAGTAAACTGCACATTTAGTTTTCTAAGACCACTTTGGTTAGATTAGCCAAGTCAAGTTTGATACCTGAAAGGGATGCAAAAATTATGGGAATTGTCATTTTCCTGCCCTTAAATTTTCTTGCCATTCACTGCTTGGAAGAATAGTTTGAAAAATAATCTTTATTTATCTCTAGTAAAGAATGTGTTCAGATGACTGGGGGTGCAGCAGCTTAAGAGGTACAGTGAGTGCTTGCCTAACATATTCAAGGCCCTGGATTGGATCTCCAACACTATGTTCAAGATTTCACATTATTTTAAATTGCCATATTTGGGGAAAGATCTTTATTTTATACACAATAAAAATTACATATTATAATTAACATATATGCCTCTCTATATAATTAATAACATGTAGGCCAAAGGTGCCAAAAATAATTTTAGCACATTAAAAAAAACACCTAAAAGTGGTTTTCCAAGCTGTACATTTTCTCCAGAAAAAGAAATTCCTTGCCTTTACTCAGAAAAAAATAATATTTAGATATATTTAAAAGATGAGTCCATTAAAAAAAGGAGTTCTTTTGGGAATCAATCAATCTGGGATTCAGTGCATCAGTTATATTTTCTTTTTTCTCTTCTTCTTTTCTTGCATTTCTACCATCTTCCTTTTCCTGGCCGACAGGCTATTTCCTTTCACTGGCTTATTACTGTCACCACTTAAAACGCATTTCTTTGAGTTAGGTTTTAATGTGTCTTCTTGCTGCACCACGTCACCAGAGTCCTTTTTGCTGATCTCGGACTGTTCTGTATTAACCAAAACACAAGAGACAGCACATTTAGACTGTTTTCCCCGTTTATTAATGAATTAAACAGGCTCACAATAAAGTGACATTGTGTGGATATCCGCCACTTCAACAATTCAAAAGGTAACAGAATTTGAATTTTTTAAATGACCAATTTCACTTACCAGAAGAAGGCCCTGCTGCTGGAGGAGGCCTCTCTTTTGTGTCTGTTCCTCTGTCTAACCATACTCCAAGACACGTCAGCCTGGCATCTGTGTTCACTCCACAGAGCAAAGATGGGGGATCTTTCTAAAACAGAAGGGGGGGAAACTCATATCTAACAGAGGAATTCTGAATAATTATTTTAAAGAACCAAGTTACCTTAATTTAAAATTTATTGTACAATCATACACAGCAAAACAAGGTTTCAATCAATAACAGACTACATATACAATGGTACATGCCACAGGGCCTAGCTCTGGGGTTGGCTCTACCGTTCAGGTTTGTATATACTCCACGATGTTCACAAAATGCTAAAATCTACAACGCACTTTGTGGAATATAACCCCACCATTACAAGATGCATGCCAGTATTTTCTTGAGCATAAAACATGCTATTTAGAAATAATCTATTGTTTTGATTCATGATTGGTTCAATTCTGTTATTCACAGAGCCAATTTCTGAGAAGTATCCAGAAATTACAGATTCTAAGGAAATAGACTATGTCTTATTCATTTCTAGATTTAACAGAGAGGCTTGCACAGTGCTCACACTTGATAAACCATATCCACAGAATAGATATCAAAGAATGAAAAATAATAAACTAGATCTACAGAAGGAAATTGAATTTTTTAGTTATTTGGTTCTAAGCTGTTGTTAGTTCCATAATAGACTAAAACCTTCCCAATTGTTTTCAGTAGTGGTAGTCCTCCCACCTAATACCTTACAGAGGACCCTAATACATTAAAAAAAAAAAAAAAAAAAAAAAAAGACCAAGTAGATAGAATGCAGAGGGAGGTCTGAGATCCTGAGCTCAGATTCACAAATGCCAGCCCTAAGGCAGCTCTGTGGGAACCTAACTCTAAAAGTATAAATATCAATCATTCCTGGAAGAAATTTATAAAATTTACATCTATGGTCTTTATCCTTTAAAAAATTCCACCCCGCTCAACTTAAAATGGCACTAGCAGCAAGACTTGCATTACAGTGTATTTATGTTCTGTTGTACTAAGATACTGACCTTATCTTGCTTTAGCTTCCACATTTTGATGAAACCATCACTTGATGCTGTAACAAGAACATGATGCTCTGGAATTTCAAAACTGAAAATGTCTTTTACCCTAGGATAGAAATATTAATGCCATAAAAGATCTTTTCTCCAGAGTGTGATCATCATTATAAAACTTATAAGCTAGTCTCTTTTTTTCCAATGCTTCAGTATTTGCAAACTGCTCAATGAAGCCCTAAAATGTAATTTTGCCACACATTCCCTCTGGTCAGTGAGTTGTTTTCAGGCCAACTATAGGCTAAAATGGACTGTTTGATTAAGAATAAACCAAGGGCTGGGGATGTGGCTCAAGCAGTAGTGTGCTTGCCTGGCATGTGCGGGGCGCTGGGTTCGATCCTCAGAACCACATAAAAAAATAAAATAAAGATGTTGTGTCCACCGAAAACTAAAAAATAAATATTAAAAAAAAAGAATAAATCAAAATGATAACTATAAACAATCTCAGGAAGTAATGATAACAAAACCCTCACCTCAAGCACCTCTTAGAAGTGCAGTGAGGAGACAGTAGGAAGGATGATCAAGGTTCCCTCTGATGCACCCAATTCCTTCATTTCCAGTGCCACTACTTCCAAACTGCTTTTTTCTTCTACATTATGGAGGTCACCTATTTGGCCTTTCTGCTTCCATTTCTTCCCCCTAAGTTTTCTTTATTATTTTTTTCTTTTAATGAAATCAAATCTTATTACTCTCAGGCTTAAAGCCCCCCAAAACTAAAATCTGCTTTAGAAGAATATGGGAGAGGAGGAAGTAGCTGGTGATATGAAAGAAGCCATACAGGCCCTAAAGTGGCAACTGCTAAAGCTGGTAGTGGGTCTATGAGTTGGCTCTTTATAAACTAGTTTGTTTGCCTTTAATTTTCCTTAAGAAGTACACAAAACGGGCTGCAAAATAGCCCAGTGACTGAACACTTGCCTGCCTCACATGCAAGAGGCCCTGGGTTTGATCCCCAGCACTCCACCCCCCCCCCCACAATGTAAACAGAATAAAATCTGCAAAGACACAGCATAAAATTCAAATTCCTCACTCTGCCAATGAACCCAAGCACCATTTGATCCCCAAAATCCTCTCCCTTGCTCACTCTGATGGAGTCATGGAGGTCTTCTACTTGTTCCTAAAATACATTAAGTTCTTTCCTCCCTCAGTTCCTTGGAGCTGGGGAGTATATCTTAACATCAGTATGCATGAGGCCCTGGGTTCCATTCTCGGGACCATGGAGAAAATAAACAAGAAACAAAAACATCTCACTCTTTTATAATTCTTAAGGACTTATTTAACCCTTGAAATTCTCCCCTCATCAGCCTATCTAAGTAAATTACCCTTGTTATAAAGATCTACTTGTTTGAAACCTATTGCCTCATACAATAGAAAAGCCATAAGAGTGTAAGGTCTTGTCATTTTTGTTCATTTTTAAATACCTAGTGCAGAACTGAGCTATAACTCAGTGGTAGAGTGCTTGCCTAACATGCATGAAACCCTTGTTTCCACCTCAAGCACCACAAAAAAACAAACAAAACAATCCTAGTACAGTACTACAAATTGGATGTTCAATGAATACTTGTGGAAACAAATGAACAAACAAATGACTAAATATTCTTTTAGAAATACATTTGAAATGGCTTCCTTGAATGTGATTTATTTCCAATACAGGGGAAAAGTAAGGCCTATACATTGACTGCAGGACTCTGAGTACTAAGGTGGATTTCTAAAAACAATCAAAAATGAGAATTAAAACTTGAGAAGTAGAAGAACATGCAGAAATGCAGATGGACCACATTAATATATAACCATTGTCACCTTTTCACTTTTATCATCAAATTTTCAAAATTACAGTGGAAAAAGCAGGGACACAAGTCAGATGAACTGGGTTTGGACTAGCTCCTTACCTCTGGAGTAATCTCGGCAAGTTAATGAACTACTTACTCTGAGACTCAATATCTATTGCATTAAGAGAGAGAATTCAATGATAGTATTTCATTTTTTCCTTTAGGAGAAAAATATAGCATGGAAAGGAGAAATTGGACAAGGGGGACTAAGTAAAAGGACAAGAGTGGCCAGGGACAAAGTTCAAGACTACTTAGTTTACGATTTTTCAAATATGCTTATTTCAGGCTCCAAGTCTAACAGACTTATCTGAAATAAATGCAAATGACTAGTTTTGATCACACCTTCTCCACTTTTGCATTACAAAATCCAGGAAGATAACATTTTCCACTATCTTTTTAAACTCCAGAAGTTGTATACACATATGTCTGATTATCTCTGTGGTTGTTCATAAAAACATTCTGCTTCATAAAATGATTCCATGTATAACATTTACTGAGACTACACATATACACACAGGTTGGGGAAAAAAATACCTGTTTTCATGTGCTTTAAATTCACAGAGGCACACTAGTGAATCACAGTCAAAAAATCTGACAACCTCTTCATCTCCAGCCACTGCAAGGACAGAGTCCTAGGACAGAAAATAATATCCAGAAAGTCATAAGCAGTTCTGACCATCTCCATAAACTTCCATCACTGATTTCTGATAACTTACTGAAAGAAAGGTAACAGAAGAAATCCTTTTTTCATTTTTGATGGTGCCACTAATGGATGCAGTGTCAAGCTGATAGACGTCTATTTTATTCAGTATAACAACTACATATTTCTCTCCCCTTGGGGACCATTCTACTATGTGAGCATCTGTAAGTTAAAAAAGCCAAATTTACTTATTTTAAAAATAATGAGAAATAGTAAAAATATTAAGTATTTGCACTGTATTTTCACACTCATTTTCCTTTTTGATCTTCCCAAGAAACTTAAGGAATACATTGTGAAAGTTAAGTTTTAGACAATGAAGTGAATTCAAAGAATTATTGAGATAATACAGCTGGTGCATGACAGAGCTACAAGAACTCAGATCTAAAATGGTAGAAGTAACCTAAAACATTTGTTTTCAGAGGCAACTATAATAATGCAGGATATAAATGTATACACATGCGCATGTGTTCATACCTATCAAGTAACTGTAAAATATATTTCAAACAAAAATACTCACTTTGTTTTATATTTTTTATGAAGGCTGATCTTCCCTCCACAAGATTCCAAGTTCTGCAAAATAAGAAACTTGCTTATGGTATGAATATCAATTAACATACTAAATGGAAAAGCATAAGCATGATAAAGCTTTGATCAAATTTATTAAATACTGGCAATTTAAAGGGCCTGCCTTCTTTAGTTTAGCAACATCTTCAATTTTTTTATTATCAAGTAGGATTAAAGTTCATTCCATTCTCATAGCTGTTTACTATTTCATATCAATTGTTATTTTCAAAAGGTTTCACCTCCACAAACATTCTTCTTTGGGAGCACCTTGCTCTTCACTTCACAGCTATTGACAATTGAAGCATAACAGCATGTTTTAATATGGACCATTTTTATCCTATTATCATGAAACAGTTCGCTAACTTTCTACCTTTTCTTTGTATCTCAATATCTTTTAATGGGTGAAACTGTGGAACAATACAGAAACAACAGCCAACTGACATAGTAAAAGTTACATAAAGATGCTTTTGAGAATTACTTACCTTAATGTCTTATCTGTACCAACAGACAGGGCCAACTTGCCAGATGGATGAATAGAAAGGAAGGTCACATGTCCTCTAAAATGAAACCAACAAGTTAGGCCCCAACTTGACTGGCACAGTGAGAATGCCAATGGAAAAGAGCCAACTCACTTGTGAGCTCTGATTGACTTGAGGCATTCCCATTTCTTTGCATCCCAGACACAAATGAGTCCATCTTCTGCTCCACTGATTAAGTGCCTGCTGCCATAGAATTTCAGGCAAGTTATTGTACCTGTCGAAAAACCAAGATGGGCAAAATTATCTTCATTTTTAATACAAACTTTATTTCCAGTTAAGTACTACACTGGGCTGGGGATGTAGGTAAATGTAAGTGCTTACCTAACAGGGGCGGGGAGAACCATACAATGTCCTAGTATTATAAAGTAAACTTCATCTTATCTACACTTAGTTAAGTAATACTTGAAGTATTACTTAGTAATAATCTTCAAGTGTTAGATGAAATAGTTCAATTGTTTCATACCAGAAAATACAGTTTCTTTGTTTGTTGGCTTGTTTTGGTTTTCCTAGTGCTAGGGATTGAACCCAAGGCCTTAATTGTGCCAAGCAAGCATTCTACCACTGAGAAAACACCCCAGCTCAAGGACATACAGTTTTAAGTCTATGCAAATAATCTGAGATTCTTTCAGCTTTAGTTACAGATTTAAGCTAACTGGACTGGTTCATTTTCTTACTTTGTCTCCATAATCATATCATAGCCAGATGGCTAGCCAGGATAATTTTAGCAGAAATAAAACAAAACCAACTGCCTAACCAGCTAATTTAGAGGAAAGAACAAAGAAAAAAATTTACAGCCATGATTCGCACTTTCTAAATAACAAGTTATCTATATCAGCTATAATTCAATCATTATTGACCTAGAATTACCATGATTTGACTTTATACTCTGCTCATTCACTGCCATGAGAATAATTTAGAACAATTTTATAAAAAGATCATTTTCCAGCTATTCCTCTGGAAACTCCTTCCCAGGGTAAATAAATTTTCTATCATCATTTCAACCTATTAACAATACTTCCTTCCCTCCACCAAAACTGAAGCCTGGATCTCCCACACATTTCCAACATCTTTTAAATTCCAGAAATCGTATGCACATGTTACATCAAATTCTAGTCCCAAAGTAGTCCATATCATTACAGCTTTACCCTCAAGTAAAATCCTCTATTCCTTTGACATTTGTGTCACCTCACCTTACTCTACTGCTCTCTATAGCTCAAGGGTCAAAAACTTGCTGCCTGTACGCCAACTGTGGCTGGTATTCTGGCTCTGCAAATGTAATTTTATTAGAAAACAGCCCCAGTTCATTCAGTTAGAGCATATGGGACTGCTTCTGCACAGCAGCAACACAAGCTGTATGGTCCACAAATATTTACTATACGGTTCTTTACAGAATTCAAATGAAAACCTGTGGGTCACATTTCCCATCTATATACCTGCCGGTCAATTCTTTATACACTTTATATTGAAAAGAACCAGAGACCTCCAATGAATAATTTTGCACGTGACAGAAGCACTAATATGTGGGTTCATGTACACCTTCTTCTAAAAGTAGAAGCCATTAACCACTTTCCTCTCTCCCTGTCATGCTATTTCTTCTTTGGAAATGCTGCTCTCCCACATCTTCTGCTCCTTCTGCCCATGACTCATATGCTCCCTAGAAAAGAGCTTATCTAATACTAAATGTTAGAAAAAGGAGTTTCCAGGAATTATGCAAGGAAGAGAGGAAACCAGGAATCCTACTTCATTCCTCCCCCATCTAACTGCAAGTAAATCTTTTTTTTATTCTGAATATTGATTTGAACAGATCAGATTTGTTTAGCATATTTCTTCTAAGCCTAAGAAAGAAGCCTTCCTTGTATGAACTGGGATTGGGAGACACAAGGAAAAAGGAATTTATGTTGAAATCACTCAAACCCTAGCTTCTGTTGAGGAGCATGACACCTGTCAAAGGGTGAGGAATGTGAAGAAGGCAAACATTTATCACTCCAAATTAAGTGCTAAAAATCAATGCCCAGTGACCTCTGAAATATATCAAAGTGAGGTGAGGAAAAGGGGAACACATTCTATCTTTCTTTGCAGGAAACCAACCTCATTGGCTGAGTTTCCCCAAACTAATATGTAGCTAATCAATTCTAATATTTTGAGTTTCACCTTTACTTTTCCCTCCTGAACACACAATAAGTCCCTTATCTTTTTCCCCTGGAAAACTCAGTGACTACAACATAAAATGTTTGGAACTGAGGGAAAAAAAATTTACCTATTCAGTCTCTCCACCCTCTGATCTTGCCACTCTCCCAGGCATCTTCAGTCGGTGTGGTAAATCCAACCACGAATGGTTAAGTACTAATCCTTAACTTCAACTCCAGTGCAGGGAAGTCTGCCTCCTCTATTTTAGTTTCATACACCTACAACAGTCAATGGGAACAGTGTGGTGCTCTAGGTGTACAGGACTAAAATACAGAAGAGACCATCTACCTCCCAATAGGACAACTGTAACCTACTCCAATAGGACTGTGAGCAACCTTTTTGATCCCAATTCTGTATCTCCTAGAACAGAATCTGCTGACACATAACAAACAGTCCAACAGAAGTCTATACAGTAATAAAACCTCCACATTATCTTAAAGGATACAACTTCTCACCATTGTGATGTACTAAGGCTCCATGTTCTATCTTCTTTTTCATATCATAAATGTGAATTGTTTCATCTTTGCTCCCAGTGACAACAAAACGACTATTCACAGCCACTGCTGACAAGGAGGCCGTGTGAGCATGATGAGTGAAGTCAGCCACAGGAGTCCATTGCTGCTGCTGAGTAAAACAGGAGATCAATACCAGTCACATCACAGTTCTCTAGAAACACAGGTTCCTCCATCCATAAAAACTACCAATGGATCCTACAAATGGAGAAATATTACACAATGACATGGATTAAAACAAAGATCCTGAGAAGTGAATAAGGAATACAAGGAGGTGAGAAGCAATACTGAGTACTACGACTCCAGAACCCAATAATGGTGACAGGACTGGGTACTTTAAAATACCACCCAAATCTTAAACTCTTATTATATCTACACGTGAGCCTTCCATATGACTCATTTATTCAAATATTTAAAATTTTATTTGAACTTATTTATTCAAATAATGATTATCTACCATATGCTTGGTACTACTTTAGGTAGTTAACTTAGCAGTGAACAAAAGTCCCTACACTAAAGAGCTTCCACCTCAGTGGGAGAGACGTAAACACGTTAAGAGAAAAACAGTATGAAGACGTTTCCATTAATACCAGCCTAAGCCCTAGAGAATCGCCAGTGATGAGGTCTCAGGAACTTATTGCCTCCTGCCATGTTTGTGTTGGGTTGAGAAGTGTGGCTGGTTGAGTCAAAGAATGATAGAATACACATGCTTCTTAAATTAAAGGAGTCACATGGGGCGGGGGGGAAGGTTATTAGCAAAACAAATCAAAGGGGGAGGGGGGAAGCCACCAAACTTCTTTGTACATGATTAAGATGTATTACTGCAAAATCAGTCCTAAAGACCTATAGGAACAGATACTCCTTCCATGAGTCAGGGCAAAGGGGCCTTTTCTGCTCCAGGAGGAGCTACTATGGCTTTAAATCAAATAACCTTCATTTATTTGCATCACACAAATTATACTAGTTATATAGGCTACTATCTAGATTTAGAATCATTAATGGCCAATGGTTAGGGGATTGATGCAGGATCATACATATAGAGGTCCCTGACATTTTGTGTCAACTCTGCCATACTAGCTGTGTAGCCCTGAGTAGTCACTTAACCTATCCATAAGGAACTTTCCCTTTCCTCATCTTAAAATGAGAATGACTCTATCTGCCTCTGAGGGTTGCTGTGAGGACTATTGTGTATTTGGAACATAGTAAACAATTTTACTACAAAGAAAACACAGGAAAGAAGTACTCGGTGATACGGGTTCCAGGAGATACCCGGAATTGCATCAGGAATAAAATAGTTCTGAACTAGAAGTTAGGACATCAGATTTCTAGTCCCAGGCATAGTCCTATCTACCTGTTTGACTACTGTGTTAGCAATTCTTTATTCCTACATCTATTAAAATATATCTGCTACAATTTCTCTCCATGTATTTGTCTCCCTCCTCTATCATTCCTTGTCAGGAAGGTCCCTAAAGCAGGATCTGGACTTCTGGCTTCTTTTCAACTGCCTCCTTACCTACATTAAGTACTGAGAAACTAACGTGACTCCATTTTTAAAAATGAAAAAATAACAGCAGCTTCTACCTCAAGGACTGTCCTAAGGAAGGGGGTGTGACCCTTGTCCTTGGAAAAACCCACAGAGCACTCCTAAGCACATACCCACCCTGCTGAGTTGTTTGTCTGTAAATAACAGGAGAGATCCGTGGCACCAGGTGTCCCTAACTCAGTTAGGCTAGGTGAGGACCCATAGCAACCCCCCTAGTAACCTCCAATCAGCATGAGACAGGGAAAATACCTGGAATGGCAGATGACCCCCAAGTAGTTTATAGTGGTTGATAACATGTTGGGAAACCATGTAGTTTAGCACGTACACCCCTCGTGGCCTAAATCAATCAGTTCAAAGGAATCCCTCTCTTGCATTAACCAATCACCCCTACCCAAATTGTTCCTGCCATTGAATGTGCTAATCAATGTTAAGAGTTGTTGTTTGACTTTCCCGCGGTATGGAATGATTTGCTGTGTGATGTTGTGATGCACAGAGTATCCCCCCAAAACCTATAAAATCTCACTGAACAAAGGACCGGGACTCACTCCCTGGGACCGCTGCGCTGGGAACGATTGAGAGTCCAGGCTCCAGCTTGCAATAAAGACTCTTGTGTGCTTGCATTGGATTCGGCTCCTGGAGGTCTATTGGGGTCCCACGAATCTGGCATAACAGTACCCAATAAATGAAGGAATTGGTATTACTTTTTTTTTTTTAAATCTACAAAGAGCTGATCCTGATCCAGCCCTAACGTTTTTTTAAAATTTCATTTACTTACTCATTTTAGATGTTGATAGACCTTTATTTTTTATTTACATATGGTGCTCACACATTGGAGGCAAGCACTGTGAGCCCTCGAGCCACAACCCCAGCCCACAGACCTAACATTTTCTAAAATATCAGGACAGAAACTTCATGAAAGAGCAGAATATTCTTTCACTGGATCCTGAATACATACACTGGTTGTCAACTTAAATCTACAAACTACAACTCACCACGTACAGAAACACCAGCTTCCTTCCTTTGTGGATACTGTCTTTATTTTAAATTTAGAAAATTTAGCGTGACACTTCAATACTGTATACGTTGTGTAATAAAATCAGGGTAAATGGCATACTCCAAATCAAGCATCACGTATTTGTGTTGGGAATATTCGAAATCCTCTCTACTAGTTGCTTTAAAGTACACAATTGTTGTCAATTATATTTATCCTGCTACACCAAAAAACACTGGAAGACATTTCTCCCGCCCAATCGCACCCCTGCACCGCCCCGATACCCTCCCTACCCATTCCCAGCCTCTGGTAACCACTGTCGGTTTCTTTGAAGTCAACTTTTTTACTTTCTCCCTTAGCCATCTTATCTACTATAATATGAAAATGCTATTTCATGTTGCAAAATGTCTATTTTGTTTTAAAAGATGGGCTTTTATTCAAGCTTCCATCCGTGAACATCAGACGATCAACAGAAGCGCGGGCATGTTTACCTCGGCTGTGTGGGAACCTGGCCTTCCCCGCCCCCCCCCTCCCGCAGTCCCTCCACTCGCCGAATCTCACCTCTTTGTCGCCACTCGCCTGAGGCTCCGGATGTACTGTGAACCCAAAAAGGACTTGCTCATAGCTACCGGCGACCAGCTCCATTCAGCCGCGCACGTGCCTTTCCCGGGAACCCTGCGCGGCGTTAGAAAGCTGGCGGAACCGGAAGCAAAGCGAGGTCCTCCCTGCGCAGGCGCTCCAATTTACGTCACATGGTAGGGTGCCTGTTAAGCGCCTGTATCCGTGGACGTGTTTAGAAATCACGTGACCTTTCCAAGCGACGAATAAAGGAGGATGCCATGTGCTAATGTTCTCATTTCAAGGATAAAAAAATATTAGGAGCAAGCAGGCCAATTCTAAGAAGCTTTGAATCCGGCTTATCTTAGGGGAGTAGGGACGGGGCGTACCCTGCGCAAGCCCCTCACTTCCGCCACTCCCAGGAAGGGGCGGGGCCGGTTCCTAGCGGGTGGGAGGTCTACTTGCATCGCGTGTTGTGTGTTGTGGTGTGATCAGTATCTCGATGCTTCCTCACGGGCAGTGATAAGATGTTAGATTTTGTTTTTGTGCAGGCAGCGGTGGAAGAAGGTTTTTGGTCGTTACAGGACGAGAAAGTGGGACTTGAGCTTCGCGGTTCCCGGAGCCGGCGGTGCCAGCGCCGGGGTCGTAGCCACAGGCGTGAGCGTTCAGGACTCAGTTTGGGGCCCTAGAAGTCGGCCTCCGGGGTTCTTGCCGGCCCTGGCCGGGTGCTGCCGCGCGGCACACCTTTCCTTCTAGCTTGGTTCGCGCGTCTTCACCCCGGGGTCAGATCGGCCAACGTTATGGCGCATCTTGGAGAGGGAGGATGACCCCGCACCTGAAGGGTACAAAGAACAGATGACTCGAGGGAGGAGGGCACGGTCATCGTTGGTGAAGAGTCTAGAAGGAAATCTGACGTTTATTTCAGTTACCACCTCCCTCTCCCACCTGTTTCCAGTTTAAGGGCAAACGTTTTACAAAAGCATTTTACGTTTGAGGTTTTAAATCGTAAGGTTTAAGTAGAGATTTAGGGATGTGTTGGGAATTGCAGCTTTCTCACGAGCTCCCATTAGCGTAAATGTTAGATCCTACAGTTCTAACTCCCATAGCAGGTTCATTTGACAGGGGATCTTGCGTAAGTCCATTTCTAATCTTCAACCCCACCCCCTTTGAATGGTAATAAATCCTTCAGTGCTTAGAGGCTTTTGTTTCCTAATGTTTTTGTTTTCTTTGGTGTTCTGAATTGCCCATACCTATTTAACTCAGTACATATCTTAAGTGATGCATGTTTGGGTCTTGTGGGAACGATTTCGCTTTGATGCTTTGTCATGGCAGCGCCAGGAAGGGCCTGTATTCTGCCAACTTTGGCTACTCCACCTGTAATCACTCAAGACACTGAAATGCTGTAAACAAACGAATCTATTCACTGTTACAGAGCATTTCCTTGAGTTGATACTAATGTTACTGTTACAAAAAGTCAAATTATTTGACTTTAGTTTCTATTTACTGTAATGACATCCTCCAGAACACTACTAGAATCCCAGGAATGGGAAAGTATCTCTTTGACATGGGACAGATAATGAGTAAGGATGTTTCTTTGAAGTCTCATTTTATCTTAAACATGACTTTTGGCATCTTACTCTATGGCAGTTAATGCAATAGTAGTAGTCTCTCATGCAAAAAGGGAAAAGAAACTTTTAATAAAATTTTCAATATCACATATTTTAAAGTGTTGCTTCTAGAATGTCCCTCACCCTGCCTTATTTCCCCCAAAGAAGTCTCAACTGCTTTTTGAGAAGTAATGGTACTCCTTAATATTTATTGAAACTAATTTTAAGTTAGCACACAGGATAATTACTGTTGTTAAAAGGAAAATTATTTAGACCAATAAGTGTAGTAGTTTTTGTGATTAGCAGATTGGGCAGGTCCCAAAACTAGAGCAAGTTCTGAGAATTCCAAGCAACGTGATCAGACAGCAATAATAGGAAAATGGTTGTGGGACATGAAAAATAATTAGTTATAGGTTAGTCCACTGATTGGCCTGTTTATCATAACTTAATCCGTTGATTGACTGTAAGGCCTCCAATTACCAAAACTTGGTTACTGTGATTAAACTCTATTGGTTTGGTCTGTGGGACTTAGTCAAGTACCCACTTCAAACCCATTGCCTCCCACAAATTTTAAGATTATAGCACCTTTTACTGTCAGATTTTTACCTGTAGAAATATTTGTTAAGTTTTAGAGTACGTTACAACTCAAAAAACATCTTTTGCTTCAACCAGGAATCTTAGAATATAGTTGATTCTACAGTGGAGACTGTAGCATAGGCACCATAAACACAACAAAGTGATTTTCCTCTTTAAACTGTTAGAGAATCATGAACATAATCAGTTCAAAAAAACTTAAGAATTGGGCTGGGTTTGTGGCTCAGCGGTAGAGTGCTCGCTCGCCTAGCACATGGGAGGCCCTGGATTGGATCCTCAGCACCACATAGAAATAAATAAGATAAAGATATGTGTCCAGTTACAAACAAAAAATAAATATTTTAAAAAAGAAAACTTAGTGTTTAACACAATGCTAAAGATAGCAGGCAGGGAGAGGTTGTGGAAAAATTTCAGGGGTTTTGAATCCCTTGTAATTATATGCAAAATGTGCCTATAAATTTGAGGAGGAGAATATTGATAAAATTTCATCACATTTTCAAAGATATGCCTCCTGAAGGGTAAACACCCTAACTCAGTCTTTGGTTATAAATGCTGAAATGTGTCCAGAATCATTTTCAAGGCCACACAACTAAGTATCAGCCACTATTGCTTCTGCTGCTGCTTTTTACATTTCCTTCTCTTGAACATTCTCTTCCACAGAGTACAAAGCAGCAGCATTTCATTTCATCCACAGCCATGGCAGTAGTATGTTCATAACTTGCTCAGGTTGAAATATTCACTGAAGAAGAACAATGCAAAATTACACATCTGTTCAACTGGATTTGAACTGAGCTTATTTCCTTTAAAACCTGTTTTCTTCCAAAAGGATGTTAAAAAAAAAAAAATCTAATCTCATGAAAGCTGCCATTTGCCAAAAAATAACAAACTATAGAAAGTTCTGTAATCAACAGTAAAACAACAAAAAATTTTTTTTCCAAATTTTAAATTACTGATTGAAAAGGTTTTTTTGCAACTTGAGTCATGTAATGATTTGTTCGTTCATTCATTCAACAGGTAGATATTGAGCACCTGGCTTTGATTTGGCAAGGAACCAGCTAGTTTCCTTTTGTGGTGGTGGTGGTGGTAAGGTGGATATCTTAGGCTAAAAGCTGGATAGAGTGGAGAAAAATCAGCTCTTTTAGAAGTATCAAAAGTCTAATATTCCTGTCCAAATACCTTCCTTTCTTAATGTGAAAAGTAGTAATTTTAAATTGCAGGACTGCGGGGTTGCCTGTGGTTGTATTTCCGGAGGACTTTGATCTTTGTATTTTACAGCTAAAGGAAGCAGAGATGGTGGTGCCTATCAGCTTCTCATTGCTGTGACAATATACTTGTGGAAAACAGGAGAAAAGATTTTGGGAGGATTCAGAGTTTCGGTCAATAATCAGCAGGCTTCATTGCTGTTAATCCTATAGCAAGGCAGAAACTTGGCAGAAGGGTGTGGTGGAGGAAAGGTGCTGTCCTCCTGACAGCCAGGAAGCAGAGAGAGAGAAAAAAGGGTGAGGACTCCCCAAGAACCTCCCTTTAACTAGGTCTCACTTCCTATATTTCTGTCACTTCTCAATAGTCCATTCAGCTATGAGCCCAACAGTGGATTAATCCATTGATGAGGTCAGAGCCCCATGATCCAGTCACTTCCCCAAAGTCCCACTTCTGAACATTACTGCATTGGGGACCAAATCTTCAACATAGGAGCCTCTAGGAACATTGCAGATCCTAACCATAACAGTAGCCAACTTTCCCTGGACACATCTTAGTGTCTATTGTCCACCCCTATATAACCTTATTTCACCTGCTTCATGGGAGTACACAGGGTTTGCAGTTGAGGATTTTAAGAGTAAAACATTTGTGAGTACTCTATCACTCACTTCCAGGGCCCCTAAATGCCTATTCTCATCATGGAACCTTGCTCACAGTCATCTATTCCCCAGCTCCTGTCATCTTGGGTGGTTTTAACATTGTACATTGGCTTCTACCTTCCTCAACCTCCTTACACCTTATCAATGTTCAACTTCCACATTCTAGCTGTGGCCTCAACTCTGACCCATTCATAGTCACATTTCTGATTTTCTTTCTATAAAATAAGACTAGTCCTAAAATGATAAGGAAAAAATAAATTTTTTACAGAAAGAACCTTTAATATGTTTTATTAGTTATCTAAGCTGTTGTAGTTAGGGATTTTGTTTATTGTTATGTTATAATAGTGGAAGAAACCAGTTTTAGTTGTTAGGGAGCCAGACCTGTATGTCTTCCAGACTGTTAAAAGATAATGTTCACTGATACTTGCAAAAGCACTGTTCAGGATTATGTGTTTAGTATAGGGACCCCTATAACCGCACCTAGCAGTGGAGGAGATTGGACTGAACTCTGAATTCAACATTGGCAAGTAGGAATTTATAGTTAAGAAGCAAGGTGAGGATCAGTGGGTGAAAAATCAACTAAGATGAAGCATTAGGGGTGAGGGGGCTTCTGGCTAAACCCATCTAACAGGATCCTTGTTGAAGACAAGCCAGGGTGATCAGACATCATCTGGGAGATGGAGGAGGGTGAGGAATCAGATCAGATAATGCACATGATCAGATATCCAGGATGAGGGGTTCTGGCTAAACTGCTTTAGTGGGGTTCTTTTGCTAGCACTGGATTTTATAATTGTGTGTACAAATAGACCTAAGAGAAGGGCCAGAAGCCTGAGTAAAGTTTGACTAAGCCAAAAATAATAATAATAAACCTTTAGAACCCAATGTTCTTGTGTATAACTCCTCCTTGTGTCACTTCAAGGCTCCAAGTTTCATATCTGTAATATCTGCATTAAGCCTGGGAACAGGATGGAGGACAAAGAGACTTCCCATCTAAGCAAATATCCTTTGTCCACATAGCTTTCCTCAGTCCACCTGGCCATATCCAGCTTCAAGGCAGGAGCTAGGAAAGAATATGCATTGCTTGGATCTATTATGCCCCAAGTAAAACAAGATTTCTTTTATTAAGAAAGAAAAACTCATTGTATCTAGCAATGTCAGCCACAGGTGCTGATCAATAAAATTTATTGAAGACAGAGAGATCAGCTAGAATACAAACTCCAGTTACCACCATTGCCCTTAGTCCTGCCTTGCAGATGGTGGGAGCTAAGGAAATAATTGATGAATAGCTACATAATCTGAATTCATCATGTTTATTGTTTTTCACATAATAGGTCAATATAGACTACATTAAGCATTTGAATAGCTATTGACAAGCTTCAGGGAATGGCCCAACCATAAGTGCCTTACTTATACCCAAAGTTATGTCAAATTTTCACACCTTGCTACTCAAAGTGTTGGAAGTTGGCTAAAAATGTAGATGCTGAAGCTCCACTCCAAATCTGGATGGTTTAGGACCTGTGTTTTAAACAGCATGCCCAGGTAATTTGTATGCACATTAAAGTTTGGAAATACCACTTGCTTTATCATGTTTTCACCTTTTAAAAATTGCTCGGGAGCTGGGCGCAGTGGCACACACTTGGAATCCCAGCTGCATGGGAGGCTGAGACAGGAGGATTTTGAGCCAGCCTCAGCAACAGCGAAGTGCTAAGCAACTTAGTGGGACCCTGTCTCTAAATAAAATATAAAATGGGGCTGGAGATGTGGCTCAGAGATTGAGTGCCCCTGAGTTCAATCCCGGAACCAAAATAAAAATAAAAAATTGCTGGAGTTTGGGGATTTAGTTCAGTGGCAAACACTTGCCTCATATGCACAAGACCTGAACTTCAGTCCTCAGCCCTAAAAAAACAAAAACTGAACAACAGAAATATTGCTCTAATTTTTTAAAACATTATTATTATTATTATTATTTGCAGCACTGGGGACTGAACTCAGAGGCTATCACCAAGCTACATCCACAGACCCTTTTATTTTAATAGTTCTGGGATTGAACCCAGTGGTGTTCTACCACTGAACTATACCCTCTGCCCTTTTTATTTTTTCTTTTGAGACAGGGTCTCACTAAATTCCCTGACCTCAAGCTTTTGATCTTCCTGCCTCAGCCTCAGGGTTGCTGCTGGGATTATAGGTGTGCGCCACCATGACTGGCCTCTTTAAAATTTTATCCTGTCCCTGCATTAATGTAGGGTGTGTGTGTGTGATATACACTTCTCTGCCTCTTGATTTTGCAGCTGGTTAGGATAATGATTTCAACCTGCAGGGGATTAAAAAGATCATTCAATGCCAGTTCTAATCGAAGATAACTTGGGGAAAGAATATCAGATTCTGGTAGTTGTCTTAAGGTTTTAGTTATTAAAAGTGATTCTTACCTATGGCAAGGGTGCTGTGGAGACGTCTAGGTTCTCTATAGTTCTCTCTCTCTCTCTCTCACACACACACACACACACACACACACACACGCTTTTGCTGGCTTCCCAGGCCTGCCATTTGGGAAGGGGGCTGATTGCTGGAATTGAGGGAGTTTGCAGAAGTTTCCCCAGCTGACACCAGTGCACCCTGCCTCTACCACACCCTTGCCCCCTTGTCAGGAAAGTCAAGAAATTAATTGCCTAGCAGGAATTGCCACTCAATGTAATGACGCATAGGTTGTAAAAACTGTTTGTAAGGATTAGCACATGCTGAAATTTTTGACACAGGAATCAAACTGTGGATTTCCGTCTTCCTTTGTCAAGTTTCTAGATAAATGGCCAGATGGGAGAATTTTGCAAGTTTTACCATATCTCAACAAAATAACTATTATTGCTGCTGGAAAAGGTGTGTGAGTTTCTCCCCTCTCCTACTTTAAATGGAAATGAAAGCCATTACGTTCTAACTAATATAATACTTTTGGCAACTGATAGACTAATTGCTTTGAACATTAAGTGTTTTTGAACAATTGAAGTAGAAATCATTCTTACCTGAAACTTCCTTGAAAGAAAAAGGCATTGTGCGTGATTCTGCCTAGGTTGGCATGGTTGTCATTCCTCTGCTATTAGAGTGGGCAGCCAGAATCCCACACTGGCCAGGGTTACCGTAGTGGTGACCGATATGAGCAGCCACAGCTCTCTTATCCTCTTTCCTGCTACAGCTACAGCTGCGCAGTGAGGGGGAATGGACCCAGCCTTTTTCCTGCACCCAAGATTTCTGAACACCCAGCTGGAAATTCACTTATGCCTCAGGTAACCCTCCCTGAAATGGATCTTGTCATTTGTGTGCGCAATGGTGTAAACATCATTTTTCCTTCTTGACACATTCATGTCAAAGTCTCACACCCATGACTTTGGCTCTCTGTTTTTGTTTTGTTCTGTTTTGGTTTGGTTTTGGTGCTAGGACTTGAACTTGAACCCAGGGACACTTTACCACTGAGCTACATCCCCAGTTCTTTTTATTTTTTTACTTTGGGATGGGGTCTCGCTAAGTTGCTGAGGCTGGCCTTAGATTTGCAGTCCTCTTGCCTCAGCCTCCCCAATTTGCTGGAATTATAGACATGCTATGGTGCCTGACTGGCTCTCTGTTTTAATACCAGACAGTAAAACTGATGACCTAAGGAGAAAGAAATTAACAGGCTTTTTGAGGTATAATTGATATAAAAGGTCCCTGAAAACTTCTGCACATGTTGATCTGTATATGTTCCTCAAATTGTATATATTTGGCCATATGCATAACCTAAGAAATTTTGACTTACAAGTGATTTAAGAGAAAAGAAAGCTCTTTTCTGGAAACAAAATAATGAGCTTATGAACTCTTGACCTAAATTCTTGGTACTAAAGTGTGTGTGTTGCTGGAACCCAGGGCCTTGCACATGCCAGGCAAGTACTCCACCGTTGAACTACACCCCAAGCCCTCTAAATTGTATATTATCATCCCCAAATAGATTTTTACTCTTTTCACATTTAAACAAGGATAAGAAGTAGCTTTGGGATTTGTTTGACTATAACAGAAAATATGAGCACCCTTTAGAAACATTTTAATATTGCCATTACTAGAATAATTTTTTTGGGGGGGGGTACCAGGGATTGAACTCAGGGGCACTTCACCACTTACCACATCCCCAGCCCTTTCTATTTTAAATTTTGAGACGCGGTCTTACTAAGTTTCTTAGGGCCTCACTAAATTGCTGAGGCTGGTCTTGAACTCACAATCCTCTTGCCTCAGCCTCTTAAGCTGCTGGAATTACAAGCATACTCCACTCTACCCAGCTAGAGTAACATATTTCTAGTAAGGAAAATCTTCTCCATACCCTCCCTCTTCTTCGTTCCCTCCACTTCGGGGGGGGGGGGGGGGGAGCCCTGTTGGAGTAGATCTAAGTCTTTTAGATCTTTCCCCTTTACTCTTGCTGAATCAGTGAGGTTAGGCCCTGTTTCTTTTTGGGGGTCAGGTGGGGTGCTTTGGTTAAGAATATAGTATACATATGGCTTGTTTCTTGCTTCTGTTTATACGTTGTTTGCAGAGAGCTTTCTTTAAAATTTTCTAAAAATCCCCAATCGAGGGGCTGGGGTACAGCTCAGTGGTAGAGCTTGTGCTTAGCATGCAGTTCAATCTACAGCACCAAGAAAAAACCCTAAAATCTCCCATTTAGATGTTCTGTGTTTTTATCTCATCCTTTATCTGACTTTTGAAATGTTTTCAGTGCTTCAAAAAATTTCCTTCAACCTATTTTCAAACATGTTCCTGAATGTTTTGTTTCGCTAAGAATAACTTCTCTGGAAGAGGAAGGGCTGGACTAAAGGATATAACATTCAAAATGTTAAACAGGAGATTAACCATGAAAAAGCCTTCCTTTTCCCTTACCGTGGTGGGCTGTGCTTATTTCTCCTGGATCTGTGTGTGATTAGCCAGTCTCACAGGCAAGGGAGGCAGGGCCTACTGTTCAGGGCAAACATCTTTTGTAATGTTCACTGGTGTCTGTGTCCCATGACCTTGTTGCTGTCCTTTCTCTACTTTTTCTGGTTGAGGGGTGTCCCCTTTGCTTGATTGCATAAGTTACTTAGGGAAATTCACACTTTACACTCAAAAGGTTATGGACTTTCCTTCTGGGTTTGTGGTGGTTGGGTGATGGCCTTGGCCTTAACATCAAAATTGAATTTAACATCTATCTAGACCCTTGGTTTCTAAAATTTACATTTGCTTTGCATCTTTTTTGCCCAAACTCTCATTTTCAATTTTGTTTTTAGTCTGTTTTAGGCGCCTCTTATGTAAAAATTTCTCTTTAGATTTCTCATCTCTTTTTTTAAACTCAGTTTGGGTTTCTCCTTTTTAGCAGATGTTCAGTATTGCATCACTTTTTACAAAAAAACAAAAATCATAACTTTAAGTGTAGTGCGCTTTCTTTCACATCTTCCTTTCTTTTCCTCTTAGTGGTTACCTTTGTATCTTTAAATAGGGAGATCTGGGTATGAGTATATCATCAGCTTCAGAAATTGTTTTTAAAAATTTCTCTTCCAATCATGAGAACATTAAAAAAAATTAACATCCTTTTTTTCCCTCACCCTACTAACCCTTCCCTCCATTTTTCTAATCATTTTAGAGTTTTCTGATCCCCTTCTGGATTTTTTTGATCCCTTTGTCTAGCTGAATTATTACTTATAGAATGCACTTGTTCCTTTAATTATTATAAATATACTGTCAGTGACTAGTTACCACACTGCCATCTGCCAGTCATCCTCGTGGGTATTCCTGAAGGGGAAGCTGGAAGGCTCTGTGGTGGGTTTCTCACTCCCAAGACCTTATTTTGGTCTTGTCTGATGACATGTATTCTCCACGAGATGCTATAATTTTATTCCCCACCATGTTCTGCCTGGTCCTTAGCCCCCCAAATTCATGGGTTAGTCCAACACCCCAAAGAGGCCCCTCCTTTACATTTTGACATGGTGACTTGCCCAAGATCAGAGGAAATAATGTGTTCAGAATGATTCTCAGGTCTTTGGGGTCCATCAGCACAACTTCTCTAGGCTACCTCCAACCATTTATATAGGCACTTTTCTTTAAGGACGACCTGGATGGGAAAAATGCTCTGTCTCCAGGTAGTTTCTGCTTATCCCACCCTGGCCATTTAGGATTCATGTTTATCAGAGCACACATTGAAAAGGAGGACATGTGAGACCTGGACCTTATATTTTAGGAAAGACCTCCTTTAAGCAGATTTTGGTGATATTGGCCATTTCCAAGTAGAAAAAAGACACAGATCATGTGATTAGATTTATGATAACTATATCTTTTATTTTCCAAACCAAGACATATTTCAGAGTGAAGAGGTGACATACTTTTAGATGCACTGAAGAGAGAGATCTTTGGCTCTCAATATCACCTTTTTCTTATTAGCAAGGGAGGTTTCATTAAGCATTGTTACAGGAGTTAATTTCTGGGTTAGGACAGTTCCTTGGAATAGCTGCACATGCCTGAAAATGAAAGTTCCCAGCAGGTGTGTAGAAGGGGTCAGTAACATGTGTGCTGCTCCAGAAGCGCCAGTAGAGTCTGAGTTAACCAACAGAGATTGACTTCAGGAGTGCTTCTGGAATATACTTCTCTTGGGTAAAAACCATGATTGATTGGTCTGCTCTTCTGCAGCCTCTGCATTTCCTTGAAAACTTTAATGTCCCCAAACTTAGCTGAACCATGGGTCTGGGTCATGAGGAAAATGTGTTTGTGGAGACTGCAGGTTGTGTTTTGGAACAAAAGTTGGGGTACAGGTGGAGAGAGTGCCATCTAGTTTAGGAATAAGAAGTCAGGATGCCCAGGGATCCAGCCAAAGACCTAAATGGTCAATTTTCAGAAGCTCCAGACAGGCCAGAAGCCTCTGCCAGGCATGTCCCTCCTTAGTGACTTTTCTTCTGTTGGCTCAGTTCACTCATTTCATAATTGTAGTATTATAATATTTAAAGATTCTTCTGATCAAAATTCAACCTAAATGTGCTTAGTGGAGCTTAGACTTTTAAATTTTATTTTTGAGAGCTAAATATTTTTTTCCCAAGAAAGCATGTATTGATGTTCAATCTTTATAATTTTCTTTTTTTCTTAAGATACCCATTTTTCTTTGTAGGAAACCACAGCTGCATCTGAACACCAAGATGAGGACCCACTAGAAGGTAATGTGAACCTTGTGTCACCGTGATTGAAAACAAAACTTAACCATGTTTCTTGCTTCTTCACCCACTCAGCTTGCTGGAAACTGAGATCTTCCTGGAACATTCCAGCACAAGTTGCTGATGCCTTTCTCTTCAGTAATTTGTCCTGTTTGGGGAATCTGTTTCTATAGAATCAATGTCAGCTGATCAACCCCTGAGGGGGTTTCTGAAGGATGGAGGGAATGGAGACATTTCCAAAAACTAAGACAACAGTGTGTAGTTTAAGATCCGTTCCCTCCATACGTTTAGACTTTGCGTTCTGCTGAGTTCAAATGGTGTCTGCCAAAATTTAGGCATTGGCAACCCAAACTCAAAAGCAACAGTGTTGGGAGGTGGGCCCTTTAAGAGGTGACCGGATCTTGAGGATTCTGCAAGGGTTGATGCAGTTACTGTGGGAGTGGATTCATGACATAAGGATGAGCCAATCCTTGTCACCTGTTGTCCTTCTGCCATGGGATGATGCTGCAAGCAGAGCCTGGCCAGGCGATGCCCCTCAATCCTGCACTTTTCAGTCACCAGAAAATGAGCTAAATACATTTCTGTTTATTATAAATCACCCAGTCTCAGCATAAAATGGAGCATGGCAGGTGGTTCTAAAATGACAGGCAGGTGGTGGTTTCTATTGTTCTACTTTGAAAAGAACAAAGTTTTTCTACTCAGGGAAGGACCCAGTTTTCTGAATATGTCCTTTTTGAGGAAGGAAAGAAAATATTTTGCTTGTATTTTAAGTAATGGGAAAGAGACATAGAGGAGAAATACAGAGAACGCTGTTGCCCGATTCTTGTCACATGTCTCTCTGGTCCCTTTCTCCTACATGAGCTGCTGCCTGACAAACCCACACACTGCCTTTGTGATCCCCATCAAAGATGGGAGCAAACAGAATTTTCAGATGAGTAGGTACTCAAAGTACTTATTTTAAGGACAGGAAATAGTTGTTTAAAATAAATCTTTACATGCTATTGGGCAGTTCTAGTTTTTAGTACTTTAATTTACATATTTACTTATTTAGCTTGCTGGGGGTTTCTTTGGGGTTAAAGTATGAGCTATTCTCCATGCCTTCGTTAGCTATGCAGACATTAAAAATAATAGCAGAAGAGCTTATAGGAAGAGTGAGCTTTCTGAATCCACAATGCCAGGACTCAGATCCCACTGATTAGCTCTGTAATCCCCCCAAATCTCCAGTGTATGGGTTTCCCCTACTTTAAAGCAGGGACATTCATACCCCTCTCATAGGGTAGCTAAGTGTGGTTTCTTTTTTTTTTTTTTTTGTACCAGAGATTGAACCCAGGGGTACTTAACCACTGAGCCACATCCCTAGTTCTTTTTATTTTTTATTTTGAGACAGAGTCTCATTAAGTTATCTAGGGCCTCACTAAATTGCTGAGGCTGGCTTTAACCTCTCCATCCTCCTGCCTCAGCATCCTGAGCAGCTGGGATTATAGGCGTGCACTATGTGTGATATCTAAATCGCTCTTAAGTGTCTTAGCAGAAGCTGGCACCTAATGACCAACTGTTAGCTAGTCATAGATCTGAAGTAGCATGGCTCAGTGATGACATAAAAAAAAAAAAAGAAATGTCTCTAAAGAAAGGTCCAAAGAGTTCTCAGAAACAAGGTAGAGCTCAACTCAGAAATAGCAGTGTTCTTGTCATAGTTGATGGAAAAACATTTCAGCAAGTGCCAGTCAAAGGCATAGACAGAGGTTTTTTTAGGAAAGCAGATACATATAATTAAGAGAGAATAAGGGCAATGTCAAGAGAGAGAAAGACCTTTGGGTTAAAGCAAGGAATATATGTTCAAGTGAGATTGTGGGCTATTTCAAGAAAGAGGAGAGGTTTTGGGGGTTCCCAGCTGTTCTTTAAAGGAAACTTGGTGAGGAGTAGGTATGGAAAGGTATGTGGGAGTGATATTAGTCCAGTGATCTCAAGACAGGTTCTCAGGGTCCCCAGGCTGAAGTGGTCTTTGTTATCGGATCAAAAGATATTACTGAAAAGTTCCCTAAGTTATAGGTTCCTCAAGATGTCACATCTATCTATTGGAGGGTTAATTAACAATGCCAAGATAGATTTACAGATTTCACAGAAATTTGGGAATAACAGAACTGTAAGAGAAACTGGCTTAGGAAGTGAGCCTAGGAAACCACGTGGAACTTCTGAATTAAAATCCTATTTGGGGCTGAGGTTGGCACTTGCCTAGCACATGTGAGGCACTGGGTTAACTACTCAGCACCACATAAAATTTAATAAACAAAATAAAGGTGTTGTGTCCATGTACAACTAAAAAAATATTTTAAAACATCCTATTTTCTTGTCCTTCCTTTATGTCTCCTTTATACCTGTTTCTTATTCTACCTCAGTAGAAATGTAACACAAAACATCAAGCCATCCAGATAGATAATTTAAAATTTCCTAGAACTTTTAAGAACACTAAAGAGACAGGTAGAATTAATAATATTTCTTTTTTATTCTTTCTTTTTGTTATTTGGGATTGAATTCAGGGGTACTCTACCACCCAGCTGTGTCCCCAGTCTTTTTTTAAAAAAACTTTTTTTACTTGAGACAGGGTCTTGTGAAGTTGCAGAGGCTGTCCTCGAACTTGCCATCTTCCTGCATCACCCTCCCAAATTGCTGGAATTCTAAATGTGTGCCACCACACCCAGTTTAATAATATTTCTTTTACTTAACTATGTCATGGAATGAATGTTTGTGTCTCTCCTCCCAATTATTATAGGGACCCCTAACCCTCCATGTGATGGTGCCTTCTAGGGGTGGTTAGGTTTGGATGGGGTCATGAGGTTAGTGCCCCTATAAGAGTCACTAGTGAACCTGGTTCCTTGCTCTTTGCTCTCCACCATGGGAGGAAATGACATCTTGGCAGTCTGCCACTGAGAAGAGGACCCTCTCCATAACCTGACCATTCTCGCACCCTGATCTTGGCTTCCAGTCTCCAGAACTGCGAGAAATCAGTCATCCATATTTATGGTTCTTTTATAGCAGCTCAAACTGAGTAGGATAATATCCCAAATATTATTTCAATGTGTAGTCAAAATACAAAGAATTAAGGAGACTTTTACATTTTTCTGCCAAGTCTTTGAAATGTAATATATTTTTTTCCAATTTTTTATAGTGGTAAAACACACATAATATTACATTTTTCACCTTAAACATTCTTAAGCATTAAGTGGATTCATTATCTTGTGCAACCATTACTACTTTCCATCTTTAGAACTCTCATCATCTTGTAAAACTGAAAGCAAATCCAGTGATAATCTCTCTTTCCTCCTTCCCCTAACCCCTGGAAACTATCATCTTTCAATGAGGTGTATATTTTATCCTCATATCCCATGCATGGATAGCTGTGTCCCTTATTCCGTAGCCACCTGTTGTTAGTGGCTATTGTGTTGAACAGTGAAGGAGTTTGGCAAATATGCTGCTTTGTTGAGCTGGTTACTTCAAGCCAAGGGCACCTGGGGAGCAGCAGGTGCAGGGAAAGGCTTTCTTTGAACTTCCTTTATCTGCTTGGGGACAGATCCTCCAAAGGAAATTCCTCCCCAGGAATTTGATCAACCAAAGAAGCTTACCTACATCACAGGAAGGGAGGCTGAAGATAGACACCATACCCAGACATTCTTCTAAGGGCCCATTTATCTTTCCCAGTAATTATTTACTTTCCTCTAAGTTGTCTACTTCCTTTTTTCTCCCCTATAAAGAAGGTATATAGATGGGTGAGATGGTGCATGCCTGTAATCCCAGCAGCTTGGGAGGCTGAGGCAGGAAGATCATGAGTTCAAAGCCAGCCTCAGTAATTTAGTGAGGCCCTAAGCAACTCAGCAAGACCCTGTCTTAAAATAAAATATAAAAAAGGGCTGGCGATATGGCTCAGTGGTTAAGTGCCCCTGGGTTCAATCTCCAGCAAAAAAAAAAAAAAAAAGTATAAAAAAGCTTCTAGATCTCACTGTGTTTTTAGGTATTCACTTTTCTTTGATATGATGCCCCACACATGCATGTGATCAGTTTGTATGCTTTTTCTCCTGTTAATCTGCCTACTGTGTTTTCCTTCATAGATTCAATTATCAAATTCTCAGAAGTAGAGGGAATTTTTTTTACTTCCCACCCCCCTCACAGCAGCATAGGTCTAGAAGGCCCACGGGTTTAGGGAAGATGTAAGCAGTTTGCTTTCATAGACTTCTGTTAGAGCTGTGGCCAACACCTAGACCACAGAATATGGGGTTTGTAGCTGACCACACTGTGTCTGTTTTCTTGTCCACAGGTTATAGGAGCGAGGGAGGGAGAGAGGGAGAGAGAGAGAGAGGAAGAGGGTGGGGACAGGGAGGGAGTGAGGGAGAGAGAAGTGCCTTTAACCTGAAGGATGGAACCTAAGGCATGACTTTTAGAAAGAAAATTTCAGAAAGTTCAGGTGTTAAAAATAGAAACATAATTTCACAACTAGAAACTCTCAAAGGTTACATGACTCAGAAATGTTAGGAAGCTCCCAAAATCAAGAATCAGACAACACAGCCACCAATGCCTATTTGATGATCTCTGTCATAAAATGATTAATAACTCAGGGTGCTGCATTACAGCTGAGGACAGCTCTAGGCTGGGTGGCTTAACCAACAGAAGTTCACTCTCTCACGGCTCTCCAAACTGGAAGTCCAGGTGCTGGCCAGTTTGGTTTCTGGTGAGGACTCTCTTCTGGCTTTCAGGTGACAATCCTCTTACTGTCCTCACATGACTTCTGCTTTGTGCAGGCTCTCTGGTGTCTTTTCATATAAAGGCACTATTGGCACTAGACCAGGATTCTACTCTTATGACCTGACCAAATGCTAATTATATCTCCAAGGCCCCATCTCCAAATTCTACCATATCAAGGATTAAATCTTCAATATATGAATTTGGGAGGAAGTGGGGACACAGGCATTCAGTCCCTATCAGGCATACAAAGGATAAGTCCTGGAATGCATTTAGACTTTAAAACAGAAAGGGCTTCTTTAGTTACATTTAGTACAAGGACAAAAAAATAAAACAAGGATAATGTTAAAAAAAAAAATCTGTAACATTGAAAGTCTTAGATACCTTTGGAAATCTGACAATCTGGACGGCAAACCCAGATCTAATGCCTTCGTGGTAACACCATGCCATCCCAAGTCTTCGTTTGCTTTTGAATTAGTTACTATACAAAATTTATTCACTTCATCTGTGAAATAAGCAGATAAAGTGGCATGTTTATTTTCTCAAAGCAGGATCCTAGGAACCCTCGGTTTGGCTCACTGTCCACCCAGGTGCTTAGGCCAAGAACTCGGGGTTTACCCGTGACCTTCTCTTTCCCTGTTTCCCCGAATGGAATTCATCTCTAGAATATCACTTGAATCTCCATTTTTCTCCTCCACCACTTATGTTGAGTTTGATGATATTGCTGCTTCTATAACTTAAATTTCTATCTTCACGTCGTACTGAAAGATCACACAAAATTTTAAAAAGTCAACCTTTAGTGTAATTCTTCCTGCTTGTGCTTTTTACAAACTCTCTAGTTTCCAGCCATTTCCAGTACGTGTTCTGTAAAACTCTATTTTCTTCGTGTCTATTATTGTCTTCTTGCAGATTCACATCTTCATTTGAATATTGAAGAATTAAACAAGGAGTTTATGTTGAGAAGTGAAGAACTCTATGATTCCCTCATGAATTGTCACTGGCAGCCTCTGGATACAGTCTACTCGGACATCCCAGATGAGACCCCAGAGTGAAGCAAGGTGTTTAGTATCTATCCACATTAACTGCATTTGTTTTTGTTTTTATAGGAAAAAAAAACATCTTCCATGAATGTTCTGGATTCTGGATGTAAATAAAAACTTACAGTACCTCAATGTTATTGATATGATGGATTATGAGGTACACTAACTCATCAGCACCTCCATTCCTGGAAGTGTGTTACTTTAAATAAATGCCAGAAGAGATGCTATGACTATCTTGGTAGAACAAGTTGTTCTCCAAGACACAGGAAAACAGGTTTAATATAAGTTGGGCTTAAATTTAACTGATGGTGACATTAGCTACTCTGTTTTGTGGACTTTCTGTAACACTAAATTTTCATGCAAGGTTTCTCATTTGTATCTTGTCTAGAAAATGTCAATTAGAACTAGATGTTTGTTTTCCACTGACCCTTGGGTGCTCTGTAAGAAAGCTGGTGTGACGGTGGAAGACAGTGGACATGAACTTGTCTCAACTGAACAGAAAGATTCCTAAGCATGGAAAAAAATTTGCCTTTTTCAGACTGTTGATTTTCTAAGAGGAAATAATTGGGCCTTTGTAAAAGCCAGTTCTGAAAAATAAATAAATAAAAGCCAGTGCAGAAACTTCAGTGAGTCTTGACTGTGCTCCTTATTTAAAACGATGTGTTTTTTTTGTCCTGAAGTTGAGCATTGTGTCCTGTTTTATTGCTTTACCTTGCACGGAGATCCCTTGGACTGAGGTGGCTGACCTGAAGGCCAGAAGGTATATGCTGTAGAAGGAGAGTTGATCTGACTATGGGCAAAGGGAATTCGAGATCCCTTCTACTCTGGAGGTGTTTAACAGATGCTAAGTCTTGTACCAACTAGGCTCAAGACCTGAATCCAGAATGGAAGGCCTGCTGGTCTGCGCCTGGGCTGAAGGCACTCCCTCTCCCCGGGGCAGGGCTTCTCAACCTCAGTCCTGTTGCCACTTTGTCCTGGACACTTCTCTGCTAGGGGGACTGCCTTGTGCATTGTCCTGCCCTCTACCACTAGATGCCTGCAGCACCCTTGCACCCCACTTGGGACAACACAGATGTCTCTGGATATTGTCAAATGTCTCCAGAAACAAAATTGCCCTGATTTAGAACCACTAGGAAAGGGCAATGTTTTTCCAATTGTGAGGTCTGTCAGAGTCACCTGTAAGGCTTTTTTAGATTCAAATTCTTGTATACTATCCCCAGTCTGCTTCAGTAGGTCTAGGGTGGAACTCTGTGTTAGTTAGCTTCTCATTGCTGCGACAAACACCTGAACAAAATGGAGGAGGAAAAGTGTTCTTGGCTCATGGTTTCAGTCTATTGTTGGCTGGCTCCATTGTTCTGGGCTAGAGGACATCAAGGCAGAAGAAAGCTCAGCTCAGAGAGGTAGGAGAGGGAGGGGCTGGGGACAAAGTATACCCTTCCAGGGTACAGCCCCAGTGACCTACTTCCTCCAACTAGGTCCTACCTCCAACATCTACCACTTCAAAATAATTATCCAAGTTATTGATCCACCAAATGGATTAATCCACTGATGAGGTTAGAGTCTCAGGATCCAATCAATCATTTCCTAAAAGCCCTGGCTCTGAACATTGCTATACTGGGGACCAAGCCTTCAACACGAGTCTTTAGGGATACTTCAAACCATATCAGTCCTGAAAATTTTGAATTCTCTAAGAAGTTGCTAGGTAAAACTTCTGGTGGTGGTACAGATACCACCTCTAAAAGCTACCAGCTCAGGAACTTTCCTAACCACTTCAGTTTAGTTCTGCCTGGAACCAAGGGTAAAGAATTCCTCTCACTCCCCTCCCAGCACAAGGGCCCTGATTTGTTTAGGCACCCACTCCCCCTCTCCAGCTGTGTGTTTTAGGGACCAGCACCAGGTCCATCTCCAGGCAGTGGCTCTTGCAAAGTCTGAGCCATGGGTAGTGATCCTGTTCCTCTTATAAGACCTTTGTTTAGGTGGAAACAGGATAAAACCTGCCATGAGCTCTGAGGACAAATTTTCCTCATTTTTAAAAAGGAAAAACAAGAGGCAGCTTCTATCTCTTTCTGAGCATCAGATTTAGATGTGATAACTGGCCCAGCTGCAGCCATCTTATAACCATTAGGGTACAACCTGAAGGTAGTGCTGGTATACTTAGGACGGTGATGACATCTATGTTCATAATAATGGCCTTGTGCTGTTGATTAGCCAACCCTAGTGTCTCTCTGCTTGGAACTTGTTGTGTATAATTTACAGATATTCCTTGACTTCCAGTGGAGATTGTGCCACCACAAATCCTGTCCATTAAAAAAGAAAAACTAAGTCAGAAATGTATTTAACACAATGACCCTATTGAACATCATAGCTTAGCCTATCCTACCTTAGACATTCTCAGAACACTTGGCTTATAGCAGGGTAAAATTGTCTATCACAAAGCCCATTTTATAATAGTCCAATAGTTGTGTATACACACAGATGGACATTTTGAAGATATGATGGGAAGCTGTGTTAGCTTTTCATTGCTCTGACTGATTTCATCTGACCAGAGCAACTTAAAAGAGGAAATGTTTATTTTGGGCTCATGGTTTCAGAGGTTCAGTGCATGGTTGGCCAGCTCCATTGCTGTGGGCCTGAGTAAGGCAGAGCATCATGGCAGAAGGGCATGGGGAGGAAAGTTGCTCAGCCCATGGCAGCTGGGAAGCCAGATGTGCAGGATCCAAGGGCAAGATCTAATCCCTGAGGGCACACCCCAGTGACTTGCTCCCACCTGTCTACAGTAACCTCCTGGAAATCCATTCAAATTACTAGTCCATCTAAAGAAAATATGGCATATATACACAATGAAGTGTTATTCAGTCATAAAGAATGGAATTATGTCATCTGCAGGAAAATGGATGGAACTTGAGAGCATTATGTTAAGTGAAATAAGTCAAACAGAAGGTTAAGGGCCATGTTTTCTTTTATATATAAAACAGAGGGAAAAAAGGAAAAGAAAGGTGAAGGGAGTAGCTCATGAAAATCTAAGGCAGATCAGTTTTAGAGTAAAGAAAAGGGACAGGGGAGTGAGGGAGTAGGGAAAGGGAGGTACCGGGGAACCAATATTGATCAAATTATATGGTTATATTATGTGCATATATAAATATGTAACAATGAATTGCACTACTATGTATAATTTAGATACACCAATAAAAATATGAGAAAAATGATTAACCCATCAAATGGATTAATCCTCTGATGATATTATAGCTCACACAATTACATCACTTCACCTTGGAACATTCCTGAATTCCTTAACACAGGAACTTTTTAGAGAAAAATCTCATATCCAAACCATAACAGAGGCTAAAACACAACATCCAAAAAATGCTGGCAACATAGTTCGCTTTAAAATATCGGTGTTTACCTTCACGATTACGTGGCTGGCTGGGAGCTGTTGCTTGATGCCACTGCCCAGCATCACAAGAGAGGATCGTACCGAATTCCAAGTCCAGTTCTACTGAATGGGTATTGCTTTCACGCCACTGTAAAAGTCCAGTTAACTTGAACTGTTGTAAGTTGGGGCTGTCTGTATCTTCTCTTTAAGACACTCTGAATTTTTGTTATTTGTAGCAAAAGTATCCTAATGGATACAGATAAAATGTGTAAAGAATTTGATGTCCTTAAGTCCAAAAGACCTTCATCAGTATGGACAGAGCGTGTTGTCTAACATGGCAGCTACTAACCACGTGGGCTGTTGTTGAAACTTTTTAAGTTTAAAATGAAAAATCTAACGTATGATATGTCAAGGTCATTGTACTGTCATGTGTAACTAATTAAAACAAAAATAAAATGAGAAATCTGCTCCCTCATTTACACTTGCCACATTTCAGTATTTTAATAGCCATATATTTGACCAAATTAGGCAGCACAGATTGTAGAATATTTCTTTCACAGGCCAGTGTCATACAATAAAAACTGTGCCCTTAGGAGGAGAACAGTTAGGTTCATTTCTCAACCTTTATTTAGACTTTTCCCCTAATTATCCCCTCCCTCCACGAAATGTTCATTGCATAGATACATCTACTCTATGTCCTTTATACATTAGAATGAGCCAGAATTTTTTTTTATCTCATCCCCTCTAGAGCCATTTGTCACCTCCATGGGGTGCTATTGTCACCTGTTGAGAATGCATGGGTCAGCATCATGGCCATAAATAAGTTCAAACAAGGCTTTTAGGTCACCATGAAGAATATGGATCTTACTAACACTATCTGGTCTTTGTATCTTTATTTAGTTATTTAGTTAGTTAGTTATAGGTGGACACAATGTCTTTATTTTACTTTATGTGGTGCTGAGGATCAAACCCAGTGCCTCATGCATGCTAGGCGAGCGCTCTACCTCTGAGCCACAACCCCAGCCCTATACCTTTATTTTTATTTTTATTTATTTACTTATTTTTCTTGAGACAGGGTCACACTGTGTTGCCCAGTCTGGTCTCAAACTCCCAGGCTCAAGCAATCCTCCTACCTCAGCCTCCCATGGAACTGGAATTATGCACTGTATCTAGCCTAGACCTTTGTTCTTGAAGTTCAAAGTTCCGAAACAATGAGGATGTATTTTTATTAATATTAAAGAAAAAATCACACACACACACACACAAAAAAAAAAAAACACGGATATACCAAGAACTAGGTAATGGTTTATGCTTGTTCTGTTCCCCTAAGTATTAATTAATTAATTAATTAATGGTGCTGAGAATTGAACCCCAGAGTACTCTATCAATGAGCTACCTCCCCAGTCCTTTTATTTTTTATTTGAGACAGGGTCTTGCTAAATTGTCAAAAGACTGGCCTTGAACTTGTGATGCTCCTGCCTCAGCATCCCAACTTGCTGAAATCCCAGGTGTGTGCACTGTGCCTGGTCTAATTAGGTTTTGATAACATCTAATGGGAGACCTAAACTCTCTTGCTGAAATTCTCTTTGGCCTACCCAAAAAAGAAAAGTGTTCTTATTATAGATTGTTACGTTAGTGACCCCAAATGAATCACTTCTAAGTGGCTATGCCACTGTCACATTAATGCCGGGCTTGACAAGGAGGTTTGTTTTAACCAATGGGCCATCAGCAAATGTGACACAAGCAGAGGGTTGATAAACTCTTTCACACTGGAGTTTGCTCTTTTGCAATACTTTGCCATCACATAAGGAAGCCCCCTTGCCGCAGTCCGGCTGCAGCAAACTAGCCGGTGGGGGGGGGGGGGGGTGACGAACCACTTGTGTACATTGATACAGCAGGAGAGGGAGCCATTTATTGTAGGACAACAGAGGTATTTATACATTCCACACAGTTTATCTAATTAACATAAACTAGATACAGCAGTCAACCAATAAGGAATCTCCACACTTAATGGCATTAACATAAACTAGATACAGCAGTCAACCAATAAGGAATCTCCACACTTAATGGCTCACTGGAGTTACTTCACAAACCACTCCCTCTGGCAAAATGCCAGGCACCATCCAGACTTGTTTACAGACCTTAACATTAACCACTCCCTCTGGCAAAATGCCAGGCGCCATCCAGACTTGTTTACAGACTCTAACACCCCCTTAAAGCTGAAGTAGGAGAGGCCAGATAGAGGAGAACTGA